CGGACTAGCCACCGGCTGGCGCGGGCTGGCTGGCTGGCTGGCTGGATGGGACAGCGGCCAGCACGGCGCAGTTCCCCTGATATGTTTGTTCGCGAAAGTCGCCCAGCAAATTGTCGCTGTTTTTGTTGGTGTTTTGTTGGCCGCATACGGTTCGTGTTACGTCATTTTTTTTATTTTTTTTGCACTTCTGTGCAGTGCGCGCGCTCAGTGGGAGTAAAGTTTTAAAATGCCGATAGCAGTGCAGCGGCGGCACCATCCTTAGAAAAACAACAACATGACGGCTGTTTTTTTTTGGGGGGGGAGGGGATCAAGACGCTTTTTGTAAGCTTTGTGGGAAGGCTAGGTTAGGGCCTGCAGCTCAAGCCGCGGCCCCTGCCCCGCCCACAGCGTGCACACTGCACGCGAAAAAGAAGTGCAACAACATGGCAGCCCCCAAGACGCTTACTCTTTCGACCCCGTTCCTCCGTTCCGCCTTTCCTCCGCCTCTTCCTTCCGGCGCCTTCCGCGGCTCGCCACGGCGCGGCGGCGCATCGCGGCGTAGCTGTGCTTATCATTAAAAGCGGAATCGGTCAATATGAACGAAAGCGTGCACCGCGCTTCCTGGTGATGGTGGTGGTGATGGCGGTGTGAGACCGCAGTGCTGTGCTGTGCGGCGTTCCGAGTTAGTTTAGAGCAGCGGTTCTCAACCTTTCTCGGCTCGCGACCCCAAATTTGTAGCCAAAAATTTCCGCGACCCCCAGGAAAAGTTTCGCGACCCCACGGGACCCCTCCTTTAGCATGCCACTGCGTCTGATCCGAGGCGGGCATTTTGCTCCCTCAACGGGCAATTGGTCTTTGGACCCTCCTTTAGCATGCCTCTGTTACGGAGTGCGATTATCAGTCTTAGTTTGGGAGCAGTATTGTCTCAAAGTTGGCCAAAACGCTCAGAAATGTCTGTAAAAAATCATGTTTTGGGTCGATTTTAAGCAGCCACTGCGTCTGATCCGAGGCGGGCATTTTGCTCCCTCAACGGGCAATTGGTCTTTGGACCTCCTTTAGCATGCCTCTGTTACGGAGTGCGATTATCAGTCTTAGTTTGGGAGCAGTATTGTCTCAAAGTTGGCCAAAACGCTCAGAAATGTCTTTAAAAAATCATGTTTTGGGTCGATTTTAAGCAGCCACTGCGTCTGATCCGAGGCGGGCATTTTGCTCCCTCAACGGGCAATTGGTCTTTGGACCTTCCTTTAGCATGCCTCTGTTACGGAGTGCGATTATCAGTCTTAGTTTGGGAGCAGTATTGTCTCAAAGTTGGCCAAAACGCTCAGAAATGTCTTTAAAAAATCATGTTTTGGGTCGATTTTAAGCAGCCACTGCGTCTGATCCAAGGCGGGCATTTTGCTCCCTCAACGGGCAATTGGTCTTTGGACCTCCTTTAGCATGCCTCTGTTACGGAATGCGATTATCAGTTTAGTTTGGGAGCAGTATTGTCTCAAAGTTGACCAAAACAGGCACAACGATTTTTCATAGACATTCTGAGCGTTTTGGGCAACTTTGAGACAATACTGCTCCCAACTAAGACCGATAATCACACTCCGTAACAAAGGCATGCTAAAGGACGTTCCAAAGACCATTGCCTGTTGAAGGAGGACGAATTACCGCTTCGGATCAGACGCAGTGGCTGCTTAAAATCGGCCCAAAACACGATTTTTCAAAAGACATTTCTGGACCGTTTTGGTAAGCTTTGAGACATGCTGCTGAACTAAGGCGGGCATTTCACACTCCGGACAATTGGTCTAAAGAACTTCCTTTAGCATGCCTCTGTTACGGGGGGCGATTATCCCGCTTAGTTTGGGAGCAGTATTGTCTCAAAGTTAGCCAAAACGCCCAGAAATGCTTTAAAAAACCATGTTTTGGTCGTTTAAGCACCACCTTGTCGAGGCGGGCCTTTGCTCCCTCAACGGGATTGGTTTTGGCCCTACATGCATCTGTTACCCGGGGTGCGATGCGTCTTAGTTTGGGAGCAGTAGCAAAGTTTTGCCAAAAACGCTCAGAATGTCTTTAAAAAATCATGTTTGGGTCGATTTAAGCAGCCACTGCGTCTGATCCGAGGCGGGCATTTTGCTCCCTCAACGGGCATTGGTCTTTGGACCCTCCTTTAGCATGCCTCTGTTACGGAGTGCGATTATCAGTCTTAGTTTGGGAGCAGTATTGTCTCAAAGTTGGCCAAAACGCTCAGAAATGTCTTTAAAAAAATCATGTTTTGGGTCGATTTTAAGCAGCCACTGCGTCTGATCCGAGGCGGGCATTTTGCTCCCTCAACGGGCAATTGGTCTTTGGACCTTCCTTTAGCATGCCTCTGTTACGGAGTGCGATTATCAGTCTTAGTTTGGGAGCAGTATTGTCTCAAAGTTGGCCAAAACGCTCAGAAATGTCTTTAAAAAATCATGTTTTGGGTCGATTTTAAGCAGCCACTGCGTCTGATCCAAGGCGGGCATTTTGCTCCCTCAACGGGCAATTGGTCTTTGGACCTTCCTTTAGCATGCCTCTGTTACGGAATGCGATTATCAGTTTTAGTTTGGGAGCAGTATTGTCTCAAAGTTGACCAAAACAGGCACAACGATTTTTCATAGACATTTCTGAGCGTTTTGGCCAACTTTGAGACAATACTGCTCCCAAACTAAGACCGATAATCACACTCCGTAACAAAGGCATGCTAAAAGAAGGTCCAAAGACCAATTGCCTGTTGAAGGAGGACGAAATACCGCCTCGGATCAGACGCAGTGGCTGCTTAAAATCGGCCCAAAACACGATTTTTCAAAGACATTTCTGACCGTTTTGGTAAGCTTTGAGACAATGCTGCTCCCAAACTAAGACTGATAATCACACTCCGTAACAAAGGCATGCTAAAAGAAGGTTCAAAGACCAATTGCCGGTTGAGGGAGCAAAATGCCCGCCTCGGATCAGACGCAGTGGCTGCTTAAAATCGGCCCAAAACACGACCCCAGCTACCTCGCCACGACCCCTTAAAATTTTTTCGCGACCCCACTTGGGGTCGCGACCCTAAGGTTGAGAACCGCTGGTTTAGAGGTTGGCTCACATGCATCAGGTGGTCCGGATGAGACTGCTGCGCTGAGCTGCTGCAGGCGGTCGGCAGCAGCTTTTGTCCAGAAAATGGCGCCGCTGTCGCTGCCTCTGTCGCTGCCTCTGTCGCTGCCGCCGCGTGCCCTCGCCAAGGCCACGGCCCGCAGAGGGCCCCGCACGCGGCGCCGCCACCGCCATGGCGCGCCGCGGTCCGGGCCGGCACCTGCACGCCACGCGGGCTGTGCCGTGTCCGGCGAGGACCGTCCTGGACCGACCCGTCCGGGCCCCGCCGCCCACGCGCGAGGCAACGAACTCCTGGCCTGCAGCGCCAGGGCCAGGGCGGCCAGGGCGGCCAGGGCGGCCAGGGCCAGGGCGGCCAGGGCGCAGGGGCGCTACTAGGACGGCGATTTTGCGATTAATCGCAGGTGCGATGCGATTTTTTCAAAAAATGCGTTTTCGATTTCGGTTTTGAACCTCGGCGATTAATCGCAAAATCGCAAAATCGCAAAAATCGCTAAATCGCAAAAATCGCACCGTGCATGGATTTCGCGACCACTGCACCGAACGAGGTTTGCGCGTGTGGTCGGTGCCACTAGTCTGCCATTTGACCACTCAGGAATTTGTTTTTGCACTTTTTAAAAATATGTGCCATAAAGGGGTGGTATATGAGTATTGTTGCGTTTGTTTGCGATTTTTGCGATTTTGCGATTCTTGCGATTCTTGCGATTTTTGCGATTTTTGCGATTCTTGCGATTTTGCGATTAATCGCATGAAATCGCGATATATGAGAAATCGCAATCGCGATACTAAAATTTGGAAATCGCCCGTCCCTAGGCGCTACTTGGCGGCGAGACGTCCTCACTCCCCAGGCTGCGCCATGGCTGCGCCGCCAGCTGCGGACTGATTCCGAGAGTCGTTTTCGTCGCTCTGTCTCTCTCGCACTCATGGGGCGTCCCGTACGGGTGCGAGAGAGACAGAGCGACGAAAACGACTCTCGGAATCAGTGTGCAGGCGCCTTCCGAAACGGCGCCTCCTCCCTCGCACCCGTGCGGGCCGCTCCGCGAGTGCGGGAGAGACAGCGCGACGAGGGGGCTTTCGAAAAAGCCTGCACCCTGCCAGGCAGCCAGCCAGGCAGCCAGCCAGGCAGCCAGCCTCGGGACAAAAGGCTCATCACGGCAGGAAAGAGAGAAAGGCACACTGCGCGATATCGCTCGTCCCGGCCTGTGTCCCGGGCCGCGGGTCGATAGACACGGAGGCAGTCAAGTGGCCGAGCACGTCCCCGCTGTGCCCCGCCATGCCCCGCCATGCCCCGCCATGCCCCGCCATGCCTCGCCATGCCCCGCCATGCCCCGCCATGCCCCGCCACGGCCTGGGGGCACCCCGGGCAGGACCAGGGCCCCACACGTGGCGTCGGACCCGGCGCCGTTTTCCAAAAGGCTCCACGTGTTTATTGTGCTCCCTCTTTGCACCGGACTGCCCTGGCCTGCCCCGGGCTGCCCTGGGCGATTGGGTAGTCAAGTGGGAGGGGGCTGGGCTGGTGTGGTGCACACGTTTACCAATGCAACCTGTTGGCGGTGACAATGAGGCTGGCCGCCTGCCCCAGGCCTGCCCTCGCCTCCCTCGCCGGGGCTCAACCCCTTCCCCCTCCGGCCCTTTGTCTAATCCCAGCCCTGCTGCTGCGAGGGACGTACATATAGTCGAATCAAGGCGAACAGTTCCGCCGCAGAAGGGCTGGGCCGTGTCCGGTACGGGTCCGGTACGGGTCCGGTACGGGCCATCAAGCCATTGTTGCATGGAGATGGGGTCCCAGATGACCCAGCCCGCCCGGCCGGAGAGGACACGCCAAAAACTGTTGGCCAGCCGGAAATTAGCGGTCCAGGCGTGAGTATCACGTCACGACATCAACCTGTACTGACCGCCTCGCCGTTGTCTGGTTGCAGATCTACCTGTCGCAGTACGGCTACCTGAGCCCCTCAGTGAAGAACCCTGCCATGAGCCACCTCATGTCGGAGGAGTCCGTCTCTAAGGCCATCTCCGAGTTCCAGTCGTTCGTCGGGCTCAACATCACCGGTGAGTGTGTCGGTCGGACCCGCGGCACGCGACCACGGCGATGACGTCCGCCGAAGACGGCGTGGCCCGCGCGCCTTGTCACCGTCGCTTTTTTGTCGGGCATAATTCCCGCCCGCTGCGCGCTGCGGCCTCTCTCTTTCAGAAAGTGGAAAGGCGGCTCCGTTTCGTTTGTTTTGCCCTTTTTTCCGGCTCTTCGCGCTCCCTGACTCCTTTTCCGGCCCTCCCCGTTGTTTCCACTGCTTTTTTTTTTCGACGGCGATGACGCGTCGCGTCCAATCCAGAGGTCACAGTCTTGCACCCTCGCGACGGAGGCAGCATGCGCGGTGTCCATGCCCTCTGCCAGGCTGCTGCTTCCTCACACTGTGGCTTTTTTGGTGATTATAGTCCCATTTGGTCCCATTTGAAAACCATTGTTCTAAACGCGTCTCGATAAGTCGCGTCCGTCTGAATGGCCATCCTGGATCACTATGGGCTCCGGCCACAACGCTCGCGTGTCCACTTGGAGTCCACGCGGTGTCCGCGCCCCTCGGGCCCTCGCCACGTCATTAGCTGCGGGCAGACTCCGAGAGTCGTTTTCGTCGCTCTGTCTCTCTCGCGCCGCTACGGGAAGTCCCATGAGTGCGAGAAGGACAGCGATGAAACGGCCTCTCGGAAGGAGTCTGCTGCCGGCCGTGCCTTGGCCGTGCCCTGGCCGTGCCCATCCAGTCCCTCGGCGTGCGTGTCGCCTCGCGTGACGGCGTCCACTCGGACAAGACGTCGCCAGCGAGCCAGCAGCGAGCAGCACTCCCCTGGACGTCGTGGACGTCGTGGGCTCTGACGACTCAGTCTCACTGTCTACGGCACTGCTGATAATTCTCGCCCGGTTCGTAAACGGCTGCTGCGTGGTGGAGGAGCGCGTTCAAACGAAGGCCATGAAGTCACTCTATGGAATTCCGTCGAGTGAAGCGACGCGGCATCATTTTCAAACAAAATACGACTGTATTGTGCGCCGGCTCGGCTCCGTGTGACGCGATGATGTCACTTTCGTTGATTCCTCGCGATAAGGATGCATCTCGGAAAAGGAGGGAGGGGGCAATACCCGCGCGGTGCATAGTTCATACTCAGTCAGACTCACGCTCACAGTGGGAATCACACACTCCGGCTCACACACACGTTCACACACACACACACAGAGGCGCAGGGCCCCAAGGGCAGTCAGGGTTACGACCCGGTTCAAGGGTGCGCGTTTTTGCAGTGGCGGACGCGGCTCACCTTCCGGCCGGATGCGCCCTATTGTAACACTCACTGTAACACGCGACCGGCCCGTCGATACCCCGCGCACCGAGTCGCCGCTCCAGAAGGTTAACACGCAGAGTCTCTCGCGCGCGAAGTAGCGCATTGCTAGCCGGTTTTCTTGTGGGTTGGAGGCGGAGGACTTTATCTATGTCTGACCCCTGCGGCGATACTCCGTGCGTGTGCCCCGACGACAATGCGAGCTGCGCTAACTGCGGTTGCGGACCTTGCGCGCGGAGTATCGACGGTGTGACGGCGTCGTTCGAGGAAGCCCAGCAGCCGAAATGAGAATGGGAATGATCGGCAGTCAAGTCAGCCGGCGGCGATAGGCGGGTTAATCACGATCCCGCGAACGGCGGCGGGGCGGGGCGGGGCGGGGCGGAACCAATGAACCGAAAACGCATCCATTCGCGGAAAACAAACCGGCAATTAGAGTAGATGACGGCGCTAGCGCTGCGGAATCGCCGTCGTGTCTCTCTCTGTCGCACTCGTGGGGCGTCCCGCGTCGGTGCGAGAGAGACAGAGCGACGAATCACCGCGCGGGCTGGCCGGGCTGGCCGTCACGGCACGGCCCGGCCGCACGACGCCGCGTGCGGAGCGCGAAGCGCGCGAAGCGTGACGCCGCGCCTTACAGCGTAGTGTACAGGATCCGAAAGCAATCGGACTCAAGTTTAGCTGTCGTTTTGCAGTGCTTTGCAGTGTTTTGCAGTGGCGCACAGAAGGCCAGAAGACCGGCGGAGGCGGCCAAAACTCTAGACGCTGAACTGGGCTTGTGACCCCACCAATGGATTCCTCGTTCGGAGAGCAATCTATTGGTGGGGTCACACGTTCGGTTCGAGTCGAACTAAGCGACACTAGAGCGCAAAACGCGTCTAGAATTTTGGCCGCCTCCACCGGTCTTCTGGCCCACTGTGGTGCCGCTTGTAACACCTTGATGCTTTCGGTCGACAGGCAACCTGGACACGCAGACGCTGCGTATGATGAGCATCCCCCGGTGTGGTGTCAAGGACAAGGTCGGCGTCGCCTCGGACCACCGCAGCAAGCGCTACGCCCTCCAAGGTAAGCCAGCCTCACAACCTACACTGTGTAGTACCCCAAGAACACGAAACGCTCACCGCTGACGTCACATTGTAGTCGAAATTTCGACCAAGTTTGACGTAATTTTGACTTTCTTCGACTGCTTTGTGAGTGTTTCGTGTTCTTTGGACAGTTTGGGCCCATGTAAGTTACTCACTGTTTGTCACTTGCACTGTTAAACCTCTGCCTCGGCTTGCCGACTCGTCCTCGTCGCGACGAGTCTCCACTGCGATTGCTAATGTTCTCGCTAAGCAGCATAATGGTCGGCTCGGCCCCCGCCGCCCCCGCCGCCCCCCACGAGGGCCGGGGAGCGAGTCTCACGGCTCTAATCCGCCCCCGGCCAGCAGACTGATTCCGCACCGTCGCTCTGTCTCTCTCGCACCTCTACCTAACGCCCCGCGAGTGCGAGAGAGACAGAGCGACGAAAGCATTGCTCGGAATCACCCCACTGGCTGCGGCGGCGGCGGTGCCACGCGCCTCAAAGTGCCATTGGATAAACGAATGGGAAAATGCCGCTTCCAGTGCACCTGACGACAAGGCGATCGAAATTTAGTTGACTCGCGACGTGCTGGCCGCAAAGTTGTTTGGCAGGCGGGTTGAATGAATTGTTAAAAATGCGGGCGGTCCGTCGACCCGTCCTGCGTGCGTCCCTCCCAGCAGACCGATTCCGAGTCGTGTTCGTCGCCCTGCCTCTGTCGCACCCATGGGACGGCCCGTACGGCTGCGAGAGAGGCAGAGCGACGAAAGCGGCTCTCGGAATCCGTCTGCAGGCCGAGTTTGGAGGAAGCGTCGGCCGGTCACGTCCAAGGCTGCGCACGCGTCGGCAACGCGCCAATATTTCGTCCGCCGCCGTTTCCTAGTCCGGGTCCACGCCGTGCACGCCGTGCACGCCGTCAGCGAGGAGACGCTCTCCGCGACGCACTGCTCGCGTGCCTGCAGTATGCACACTGTCTTGTCACGCGCGTGCCAGAGCTGCGCGCTCGTGCCAGTGTATGGTGTGCGCAACGTCATGCTGTGGGTCTTCATCGTGATACGATCAGAGAGCTTACATTCATTGATCCAAAGTGAAGATACCATTTTGTGGAGAAGAGTCACCGTCTCGGAAAGAGGAAACTTGCTTACAAACTAGTTACTGCGCTAACCTAGGTCGCCACCGCGAGCGTGCGGCGGCTCGGCGCGCGCAGCGCCATCTCGCGGCGACTCGCGGAACCTCGTCCGCGCGCGAGGCCAGTTTGAGCGGTGACACTGCATTATGACAGATTTGTGTCGTAAAGTACTGATAATCAGCTCAGTATTAGGACTGCACGGCATTTCTCAGTAGGAAATTGGGAGTGATGGCCGGTACACAGTGGGCCAGAAGACCGGTGGAGGCGGTCAAAATCGCAGACGTGTTTTGAGCTCCTGAGTCGCTAAATGGGACTCGAACCAAACGTGTGACCCAACCAATGGATTGCTCTCCGAACGAGGAATTAATTGGTCGGTGACACGTTCGGTTCGAGTCCCATTCAGCGGCTCTGGAGCTCAAAACGCGTCTAGAGGTTTGGCCGCCTCCGCTGGTCTTCTGGCCCACTGTGTGGCAGTGCATGGAGGGAGGCATCGAGGAGCGACGTCGCCGGGCGGTTCGGCGGCGACGAGGTTTACCACCGGCAACGCGCCTCGCTTGTCCGCACGCGAAACGCCAGCAAACGAAAATCGAGAAAACTGTGGACAAAAGATGAAAGCGGGAGGGGGTTGTTTTTGCAGCTGAGAGAAATGAAAATAAAACAAAATAAACGTCGAGCGAAGGCGCGTTCGTTAAGACTGAGAGGCCGGAGGGGGAAAACTCCATCGCCAACAGTACTAAACATTTTTTCAAACGAGCAATTTCACAAATTTTACGAAAATCCCGGGAATATTCAGGATCTATAGAGTTGTGTTCTTTTAAAATGAAGGGTCGCTACGTTTCTTTTACCCCCCTCGTCGAGCAGCGCGTAGCAATATCATGGCAATTGCCGAGCCCGAAATGGCGCACGATTGTGGTTTGGCCTCTTACCTTCAAGATGAAAATAAAAATGCAAAGGGTAGGCCGCTCGGTGGCCTGCCCTGCGTGGCGGGTCTGCCTACCCTCGCGTGGTCAGGCGCTCCCGCTGGGCTGGCTGTGCGACCCACAGTGGGCCAGAGGCGCCTGCTCCCTTCGCCTGCATCTCGGCGATGTTGGTCCAGCCAGACGGATTGCATTGCAACCAACAAAGTAGAGTATCATTGTCCGCTGGACGAGGGCGCGGGCGGCCCCGCTGCCCCGCCTCATGCACAGCGCCGCACAGCGCCCCGCCGGCCGGGCCCGGCCCGCTTCGAATCCCTGTGCTTTACGGCGGCCAGCTCGGGGCGAAGCGGGGCGGAGACAAGCGGCCGAACAATATCCTTCCATTTGAAATTTATCGCCGAGGGGATCGTCCTCGCTGGCACTCGCCGCCGCCACAACGCCGCCAACTGCGTCGCTTGTTTGCCCCGTTCTGCGAATAACAGTGTCTGCTTCACAGGCAGCCGCTGGCGCGTCGAGAACCTCACCTACAAGATCTCCAAGTGCCCCTTCCTGCGAATAACAGCCTCTGCTCCACAGGCAGCCGCTGGCGCGTCAAGAACCTCACCTACAAGATCTCCAAGTACCCCTCCCGGCTGCGCAAGCGCGACGTCGACGAGGAGATCAAGCAGGCCTTCAGCCTGTGGTCCGAGTACACGGACTTGACGTTCACGCCCAAGTCGAGCGGCTCGGTGCACATCGAGATCCGGTTCGAGCGCGGCGAGCACGGCGACGGCGACCCCTTCGACGGCCCCGGCGGCACCCTGGCGCACGCCTACTTCCCCGTCTACGGCGGCGACGCGCACTTCGACGACTCGGAGCGCTGGACCATCAACTCGTTCACCGGTAAGACGAGTTTTGGCCGCCTCCACCGGTCTTCCGGCAAATCCACTGTGCGAAGGCACGGACCGTCATGGCTTCTGTTTACATTGCAGGCACCAACCTGAAGCAGGTGGCGGCGCACGAGTTCGGCCACTCCCTGGGGCTGTCCCACTCGGACGTCCGGGACGCGCTCATGGCGCCCTTCTACCGCGGCTACGAGCCCAGCCTGTCGCTCGACTCGGACGACATCGAGGGCATCCAGGTGAGGGCCGAGGCATGGACTCAACAGTGTGGCGGACATTGGCTGGACACCGGCGGGAAAGGGGCCGATAAGCCAATAGAGGGTGGACGGGCGGGCAAGACGTGCTGCAGACCGATTCTGCGAGTCGTTTTCGTCTCTCTGTCTCCCTCGCACCTACAGGGCACGCCCCACGAGTGCGAGAGAGACAGAGAGACCAAAACTCTCCCCGCATCATCGCCACCGCAACGGTGCATCCTGACTCGCCGCCGGGAACAGCAGGGCGTCGTTCCTCTGTCTCTCTCGCACCCACGACGGACGCGCCATGCGTGCGAGCGAGACAGACTCTGTTTCGGAGCCCCGCGGAAACGCGCGGAAATTGGCAGCGGGAGCCAATAACAGTGTCCGGGCCGCGAGTGGTGAAACCGCCACCGCCGCCACCACCACCACCACCACCACCACCACCACCACCCTTTTTTGGGGCCGGCCCCAGGGCTGGCCCGCCAACGCCCCAACGCCCAGCTAATTTGGCCGTCAAACCAACCTAGGACTATGCGAATGTTTTCCTGTGTCTGTCCGTCCGTCCGTCTGTCCGTCCGTCACTGTCCGTCCGTCCGCCCGCCTTGGTCGCCGTGCATAGGCAGCGTCCGTGCTTGACTGAGCAATCTCGAGATGAGCTCACTGGAAGACTAATCACTGGCTTGTAGTGGCCGTCTCGAACTCTGGCCGCACCGTGCCGTGGCGTGCCGTGGCGTGTCGTGGCGCGCCGTGCCTAAACTCAACCGGAGTGGAGTCGCGATCGACCAGAGTCTCGGGAGGCGGCGGTGCGGCGCGGTGCGGCGCGAGGGAGCTTCGGGCCGCTTCCTTCCAAACTTTGCTGGCCGCGGCTAGAAGGCTAGAAGCTACTGTGCCTGGGACTAGACGCCAAGTGGAACACCACGCGAGGGTACACGGCCGGTACAGCACAGTCGTTGCGTCGCTCTGTCTCTGTCGCACTCGCGGCGCGTGCCCTGGCGGTGCGAGAGAGACAGAGCGACGGCAGCCCGTCCCTTGTGTCCGCTGGCTTACCCCAAAATAAAACAAGTCCCCGGATTTCGGACTGGCGCGCCATGGTGGAGCGCGACGCTCCGGTGCTTCGCCTTGGCCTCGCGCACGCCACCGAGATGGGGATGGGGACTCCCCGAGGGACTCGCCAATTCGAATCGTCCGATACACCGTAAGCCCGAGGAGAGCGATTCAGCGCAATGCTTCAACGCCCTGTGTCTCTCGCACAGCCGCCAGAATATAAGCACCCATCACACCCCCTGGATCCGCCCCCGCGCCACCTCTGAACACCGCTTCTCTTGTCTGACGTGAGATATGTCGCAGGCGCTGTACGGCAGGAAATCCCGGAACACGGATCGCGACAGCGACAGCGCGGGAACCTCGAACCGACACACCACCGAGCCGCCCTCCGAGGAGGACGCCGAGCTGTGCACCAGCGCCTCCGTGGACACCATGTTCAACTCGGCCGACGGCTCCACCTTCGCCTTCAAGGGTACGTGGCCACGACCACTTGGCGCCCAGTTGATTTGGTGCACTGTTGACTTGGTGCAGTGTTGATTTGGCGCACAGTGTGGCCAGAATCTAGACGGATTTAACCCTGGCTTGACCTCTGTTAGATGGGACTCAAAGCAAACACTTGGTACCAAAGGATTCCTTGCGCCAAGCCATGTAATAGTCAGTTTGGTTTTTGAGTCGAGGGCGTTTGAGGCACACCTTAGGACTGCCCGACCTCGCTGACGGCCTGCCTGACCTCGCTGACGGCCTGCTTCTCCTTGTAGGCCAGCACTACTGGAAGCTGACGGAGGAGAGCATCGCCCCCGGGTACCCACAGCGCATCTCCAAGAGCTGGCCGGGGCTGCCGGGTGACATCGACGCCGCCTTCACGTACGTCAAGAACGGCAAGACGTACTTCTTCAAGGGGTCGCAGTACTGGCGGTACACCGGCAAGAAGATGGACCCCAACTACCCCAAGCCCATCTCGGAAGGCTTCACCGGCATCCCCGACAACCTGGACGCCGCCTTCGTCTGGAGCGGAAACGGCAAGATCTACTTCTTCAAGCGTAAGTATGATCCCGTCCGGCTGATGACGGGAAGCAAATTGGACTCGAGTCCAATCCAATATCGATACATTGAACCCGAACCACACCCGCGCGGCCGAGGCCGGTTCCATACTGGCTGCCTGTCCCGATATTCACGTCGCTCTTCTCTCGCAGGTGACAAGTTCTGGCGGTTCGACCCCGCTCAGCGGCCCCCGGTCAAGAACACCTACCCCAAGCCCATCGCCAACTGGGAAGGCCTGCCCAACGACCTGGACGCCGCCCTGCAGTACACCAACGGCTTCACCTACTTCTTCAAGGGCGGCCAGTACTACCGCTTCAACGACAGAGCCTTTGCTGTGAGTGCACGACAATATGAAAACCAGAGAAATCCGTTGGGCGCCTATCTAAATACGCAGGAGAATATCATCTCTGCGTTTGACTCGGGGACCGTTGATCCTTCAAGAGTAGTCGTATGCACGAATGACGCGTACCACGACGCCTCAATTTTACCAGTGTGTTGACGACCATTTCCGTTGCAGGTGGACGTCGCCAACCCGCCGTTCCCCCGGCCCGCTGGATACTGGTGGTTCGGCTGCCGCTCGGCGACCAAAGGCACTATGGGTAATTTGCAGCTGGCGAACCAACCGCCCCGCTCGGAGCAGCAGGAGGTTCGCGACAAGGTGCTGTCCGCTCTCATCGCCGCCGACCCCAAGCCCGGCCCCGGCGAGGGGGCGGTGGCGGGGGCCGCGGTGGCGGGGGCCGCGGCGCAGGGGGCCGGCAGCGGCGAGGAGTACGGCGCGGACCCGTCCCCGCGCGGTGGTCCGGACTCCGTGGACGACCTGATCCTGGATGCAGGTAGGCGGAGGGCCACTGGCACGTGGTCGGGCTCTGGGGCAGACCACCAACAGGATGAACTAGCCGCGGCATGTCTTGCAACCTCGGTCCAGCATGAAAATTTCACACGTAGACGTGGTCTGCTTCCAGAGCCCTGCACGAACGCGTCCCGGCGTTATTCACTAAAACAACCACATTCCATTTTTTTAACGTAATTACTTTTAAAACATCAACTGACTAATTGATTAATGTGCCCCCGAATCGCTCGCCTCCCCTCACCGAATTGTAAATCAACTCTCCCGCCCCATACCGCCAGTAGATAGTGAATGAAGCATGCTAGTGCACTGTACAGTATCGGCATGTGGATATCCGCACTGTCTCCGTAGATCTGCCACTCAAATATTGTTTTCCAGTACGAATTTTGCAAGTAGGTGGCCGTCGTTGTACTGAGCGTGCCACTACGCTTAAGCGCATCAGGCGTTTCAACTTCTCTACTCTCGTCTGAAGTCTCCTCAATCTAGTAAGGTTTCGCCGAATCTTACCAGTAAAAGTACATAAAGAAACATAAGTAGTTTGACAGCAAGAAAACCAGTTGATTAATATAATGTTTTTGTTTAAATTTGATTGAACAAGCTAACGCCACGCGTGCTGCCTGGGTCCCTTCGCCACCTCAAGGGTCGCGAACAGAGCACGAGGCTTCTTGGGCGCACTCACGACGGGGCGTTACGGCACCGCGAGCAATTCAAAGAAAGGTTTAAAAAACAAAAACAACAAGCTTACTGCACTGTGAAAATTTGGATTGTCACTTGATGACAATTTCAAGGCTAATTTCCCTTGCAAGAATTGTCGTCAAACCTGATTAAAACATCGTTGTCACGGCCATGCAGTAATGATTGGAGGAGCTTCAATCAAAATGTCTTCCAAAATTTTGTAATAAAAAGACAACAATTTTTCACAGTGTGCCTCTTGTGCTGCCCAAGACGCCTCGGAAATCGCACACAGAAAGCGCGCTCGAATAGAAACTAGAAAGTAATTTAAGATTTTTCTTTTCTCACTTTCACCTCACGTGTGTACACTATTTTTCGTCAATCTTTTGCACTACTTTGGTTGCACCTTTTGCGCTTTAGTGGTCCCAGCGGCACAAGGTTCTCCTCTTCTGTTCCAGACGGCCTCTCATTTCGCTCCTTCATGCCGGGCTTGGCCTCGGTCTTCCGCGCGCTGTTTGGCGCCAAAACGGTACCGCCTGTTTGAGCGTGTGCCGCGCGAGCCTTTTTCTTTTCCTTAACCTTTTCTCAATCACGTTAACACTTACCTAGAGTAACAGTTGAATCACACCCATGCACGCTCTGCTGACGAAGCACGTTTCGAGTGTTTGATCACAATTCACTGGTATGATTCATTTGTTTGAGCTTTGAATGGCCATTAGTTTTTCGCCGCTACCAGACTACTTACCACTAATTTGAGACACGTTGTAGTACATGTGTGGTATCACGCCGTCGCCATAATCATGATCCTTTTTTTTTCAGTGTATTGTGGGATTTTGTGGCACCCTCTCTTCTTCTCTTTGCACTCTTTCTCGCACCCCTCGCCGGGGACGAAACGTGTTTGTTTCGCATGCAATTTGTTGTGACTGACTGCGGTGAAGTAGCAATATGGGTCTTGTACCGTTATTTATTGCATTCGTTGTTTTGGTGGGAGGTTTTGCACAGCGTGTGTGTTGGGGGTGTGGCTTTTCGTTTTTTTAAAGGGGCGGTTGTTATTACGTGTGTGTGCGTTGTTTGTGTGCGTGTGTGTGTTTTTGAGGGTGTTAGTGCGTTTGCGTGTTGGACTGAGTAGTTTGTAGGCGGTGTGTGGTTGACGCATGCATTCGGTGTCTCGTTGGACGGGTTCCTCCTCTTCGCCCCTATCCACCCCTTTCACTCTGGACGCACCCGGATTGGCCTCGTTGGAGGACTGTGTTTTTAAAACGGCGGTTCAAAAAATGTGCCCCGGCACGCCCCTCACGGGCACCGGCCTTCGGCCCTTCACCTGTCTCTTATCGGCCCCTCCTTGTCCACCTGATTTTCAGGACGATAGCGTTGGCTGAGCCCCGACGACGCCCCGCCACGCCCCACCTCGCCGTGGTCTGCGTCGAGAACGTGTCTAGGACGCCGTGGTCAAGGCTCCACGAGGCTGCGTTCGAGGATGTGTGATAAGTGTGTGTGTATGTGTGTGTGTGTGTGAGCATGTGTGAGTGTTCGTAATTGTTTGCCTGGTGAGAGTTTGGATGTGTTTGTGTGTGTCAGGGAGAGTGAGTGTTTGCGTGCATGTGTGTGTGTGACCATTTATTATGTAGTATTTTGTTACGACCCCCGTGAGGAGGGGCGAAGTATTAACGAATGGATGTTTTCTAGTGGGGAAATGTAGGGGATTTCAATGTAAATTATTCTCTGGGTTGTGTAAGTTCTCATTCCCGGTGCGCGCTTTCATGACTTACTTTAGTCGTCAGTCTGAGCTCGACGTTGTTATGTTTTTTTCGTTGTTTTGTTTTTTTCTTCGTTTTGGTACTTGTACGTCAAATGGTGCTTAAAAGGCCTTTCAATGAGCGGAAGGAGAAATCGGCGGGGGAGACAGGGAAAGGGGAACAAGATGCATGAGTCAGAGTGGCTTTTTTCCGGTGCGAGAGAGAGAGACAGCGAGAGAGCGAAAGAGTGAAAAAAGAGAGGGTGGCAGTGAGTGGGGGTGGGTTCCTGAGACAGATGTGTTGCTTGTAGCGGGGCCTTCCGGAGATGAACACGACCCCCATGACGAGGAGAGCGCGGCTGCGTCTGCGCGCGGTTCGGCGGCGGTGGCGGCGCTGGTCGCCGTCGCGGTCCTCTTGGCGGGGCGCTGAGGAGCCTGCCGCCCCAGTGAGGCAAACTCTCCAATCCGCGGCTCCGCGGTGCCTCCATCGACGGGCCGCACAACCGAGTCGTCATCTGACAGAGCAACGTATCTGCATGGGGGATCCCACGGTAGATACACTGTTTTGTACGGATGCCACACAATCTGCCTCTGATCTCGCCGAAGCGCGCTGTGCCGCTGTGCCGCGCCGCCCCCAGGACTCGTCCAGGACTCGTTCGGCAACGTGTTGCAGTGTAGGGTACATCACAAGCAAAGGCCCACGGAGGAGGCCTCCCAGTACTTACAGTCCAGGAACGCGAGACGCGCACTGCCCCAAGTCGCCACCCGTTCTGCTGCGTTACTCGGCTCGGCAGCTACTGAGGAGCTCTCTAAGCTTTCTCGACCAGATTCCCGCTCGCCTGCGAAGCGCACGCGCGGTTCTCAGTGTTGGGTCTCTAACTTGACTTTTAAGAAATAATAATTGTGACTGAATTTATGATTTACTGTAGCTGTCCGGACAGACACGTTTCTTGACCACTTTTCTGTAAGTTTTCGTTTTTAAAGGGGGAGGAAGGATTCTTCACCTGGTAACTTCTCTCCAAATTTTAATTTTGAAATGGAGCTCTGTCCGGTCCCGGGGACCAATATGCTCTTTACTTGGGTTTCTGCTTCAATCGGAGTCTGATTTTATTGGGCCGAAGACAATACATTAATGGGGTATTTCAGTGTTGTTTTTTTTAGCTAAGGAAACTTGGGGTGCTCGCCATGGTGCCCAACCCGCAGTTTTAGTGGCAGCATTTAGACCTAATTTAGGCAACTGTGTCAATGAGTGAGAAAATGAGCTGTCGTGTGAATGCGTGTGAGTCTGCGTAAGTCTTAAAGCGTCATTAATTAAGAAAGATGACTGTGATCCTGTACCTATTTGTTCAAGTTGCAATTGTGCGCAGCTCAAAAGTGTACATATATCATAACCGAATTGTACATTACAACTGTGACATTTAAATCGCTAGCTAATATGTATTTCTTCTTTCTTTGTGAGAAAGCAAGAAAACTAATAAAACGTTGGCAAGATGTCAAACCCTGGCTTCCATTTCAATGCCTTTCGGCCCCTCTGGAACACCTCATACATCACAGCAGACGATCCGAGACAAAAACAAACTCGGCGAATGGAAATAACAAGAAACCATTGTCGTAATCCATCAACGAGGTGAAACTGCTGCACTGGGAGAGGGCACACGCACTGGCCGCCCCGCCGCGCCCCACCACGCCCCGCCCGCCCCCCCCGCGGATCTGGGTCTGGGTCTGGAGCTGGCCAACCAAGCCAGGCTGGAGGCTGAGGCTGCTGGAGGCGACTGGGGGCCGGCGGAGGCTGCGGGGGCGTCGTAGGGCCGGAAGGGGGGCGGGGCGGGGTGGGGCGCCGAGGAGAGTGCTTCAGGCAAGGCCTGGGCTAGGGCCTGGGCTAGGGCCTGGGCTAGGGCCTGGGCTAGGATGACCGAGGGGGAGGGGGGCTGCAGCAGCACCCTTTGTAAATCGAAGACGGGGGTGGGGGAGGGGAGGTGCCCACAGGGGTACCGTCCACGGTCGGCGCCGGCTGAAGCCGGGGAGGCAGCACGGGGCGAGGGAGGCGGGGCGGGCGGGGCGGGCGGGGCGGGCGGTAGGGGTGGGGGAGGGCTGGTAGGGAGCCCGCATGGAAATGTACGCTGGGCCGCCGGGTTATCGATCCTCGGCGCCGAGGTGCGCATGCGCCAACCTGCCGTCCCTGGCCTGCCCTGCGCCGCCCTGCCCGTCCCTGCGCGGCCCTCCCGCCTGGCTCCCGCCTCCCGCTTCGAGCTTGGGGGTCGGGCGGTCGGGCGGTCGGGACTCTGTACCAGAGGAGTGGGAGTGCCAGGTCCCTCGTCGGCTTTGCTGGGCCGCCGCGACGCCGCGACCCGCCGCCCAGTTGAGACGCGGCGCTGCGCGGAGCAGTGGAGTGCAGACGGAGCAGGACAGAACGCAGCAGCACCGCCATGGCCGCCGAGGCCCTGGCCGAGGGGAGTGGTGCCACTCGGGCGGCACGCTGTGCGCGCTGTTAGTCCGTGGTCGCGACATGGTGGCCGCGCGGTCCGTCGCCAACCGCACGCCTTCGTCCACGCCGCGTTCCCCCAGTGTGTCGCGAGTGGCAGTGGACTGTCAGTGCTGATCGTCTCGACCAGAACACCACTTTTTCTACTAGGATACTAGGATAAGATTTATTTTTCTACGTGCGACTTTTTGTTTGATCGTGTGCGAATCTCCGCGAGTGCCAGTCAAGCCATGGGACTGTTCGCTGTGGCCGTCCGCGGGGCGGCGCTGTGACGCTGCGTCATCCGCATGGCCAGGCCTAGCCGGGCCACCCAGGGCGCCATCCCGGAGGCCATCCCGGAGGCCATCCCGGAGGCCACCTCGGAGGGCGGGACGGCAGGCAAGGCCGCAGGCAAGGCCAGGCCGGGGGCGACTCATTGCTCGGCGTTTTCGGATCGTCACGCGGCCTGACAAGAGGAGGCATGAGAACGCCGCGCCGCGAGCCACACGCACAGAACGCCGCCGTCCCTCTCCTCCTGGCCCTCCACCACCTCCACCACCTCCTCCCCGGCCCCCTGCCGGCTTCGGCCCCTTCGGCCACCGCTGCTAACTTGGCCAACTTGGCCGCCCCCGCCTCCGCCTCCACTCTGCCGCTGCCGCCCCCGGCGACACCCTGCCAGCAGTGCCAGCGCAGCCGTGGTGGCCGAGGCCGGCATGGGGGCGCGGGGGCGCTCGGGGGCGCACGTGTCGTAGGGCCGTGGGGGCCATGCGGGCCGTGCGGGCCGTGTGGGCCTAGGGGTCCTCGCCGTGCCTTCGCCTCGAGACCCGCGGGCCTCGCCCACCTCGCCCACCTCGCCCACCATGCCACGGGCGCCACGGGCGCCACGGGCCTAGGCGAGAGCGGCCGGGGCGGAGCGCGCGCGGGCGGAGTAAGGGTCCGATGCCCTCCGGGCGTTCCCTTCCGCCAGCCGCACCGTGCGCAGCGCGCGCAGCGATGCACCGCCTGTGCCCTGCGCCGCGGCCCCGGACCTGGTCCCTCCACTTCGTCCACTTCGTAGCTGCTCAACTGGACTTGCTCCGAGGGGCCGGACCATGCCCTTGGCTTGGCCGCGGGCCTACGTACTCGTCCACACGCTTAGCGACGTCCCCCACCACTCTGCTGCGCTGCTGCTGCTGCTGCTGTTGGCGACCGGCACCGTCGTCGGCGACCATCATCACCACCACCGGTCCAACCACTACGGCATAGCGCAAAGCTTCGCCCAGGCCCTCACTGGCGGGCAGGGCCCCGACGCAGAGGGCAACTTCTACCAGGACTCCCCCATCTCCAGGCTGAACCCCTGGCTCTCCGCCTGCGACCTCGCCCACCCCGCCACGGCCCCGGACCTGCAGGGCCCGTGTGCCACCATCATGTCGCGAGGCCCCGGCACCGGCCACGCGCACCCCATCAGGGTCAACGGGGACATCGCGGAGGGGCCGGGACCGCCGCGATCACTGCCGGGCACGCCGCCCGGGCCCGTCAGTGAGGAGAAGTGCCCCAAGTCCTGCTCGGCGCACAACGCTTCACACACGCAGTGCCTTCGATACCTCCACGAGTCGGACAAGGAGAAGCTGTGCTCCAGCATGAGTGAGGCCCGGCTGGCGGAGTTCCGGCTGCGACACTGTTGCGAACACTCGGTGGCCAACTCGCTCACGCCCGAGGCCCTCAAGGCCGTCCTCTCCTCGTCCACCCAGTGCCTGCACTACCTCGGCACGCTGCTCGACCTGGACGCGCTGGCAGCCAGGCTGTCCTGCGAGTTCGGCGAGATCCTCTCTCGCTTCGACTGCGACCATCTCTACTCGGTCAAGTACCGCTGCACTCACTGCCAGGTAAGCCGGCTTTAAGGGCATTCGGCCGGAAACAACTACCTAGCTTCTACTTTACTTTGCCTCGGGCGTGTGCTGAAGGGCATTGCATTTTCAGCAAAACAATGCTCCCCCTTGGCAATTCAACAGGAGTTCTCCTTCCCGAGGCTCCCTTCCCGCCAAAACCGGCAACTAATCGGCGCCGCTAGTACATCGCATCCTCTGGTTTCAAGCTCAGCCCGCACGACCGCCGCGTCACACTTTACACCTTGATGGCGAGCCAAGCCACGCCTAGCCGCCCCGCGGTGCGCAGTCGCTCACACTGAAAAGGCGTCCACTTTGTCCTTCCTGCCCGCACTGCCCTGGCACTGCCGCACCCCATTGCTGGAAGAAAGAAATTGGATGGACACCCCCTCGCCTCCCTTCCATCTCCAACAGCCTCCTTTTCTCGTGCACAAGTGCATCCCCCCCCTCCCCGTGCCGTGCCCGCCCTGACAACTGCCCTTCTTTCACACAGAGCCCCCACGTGACCCCCCCCCCCTTTTCCCACAGTGGCAGGCTGGGGGTGGCGACCGACAAAGAGCGCCGGGGGGGGGGGGGCAGAGCGAAACGAGTCCTCAGGTGCGGAAAAGGCCGCAAAAGGTGGTCCATCTACTTTTGCACCGGCCGCTTGCACCTCGCTGTCCAGACACCTTCCTTCCCTCAGAGGGAGCACTGAGCACTGCAAACAGCTTCAGGCTCGGACTGCACTCCAGTCGCGACTCCCGCGTTGCCCGCAACCACCACGGCGACGACGGACAGCCTTTTCCTCCTAACCTTTTTTTTTCGTGGACGGGTGGTAAGGGTGGGGGCATCCCAGGCCGGAGGCCGACCCCCCTCCGCACCCCTTTCTCCCCCAGCTTCCTTCCCCCTTGGCCGCGCTGGAATAACATACACTGCAAAGGCACAGCCCCAAAGCAAATATTGGCCTTCACCTGTGTGGAACACTCGCTCGCGGAACACAGGGCGCGCGCGTGTGTGAGTGCGTGCGTGTGTGTGCTTACGCGTGTGAGGGTGCGCTCTGTGCAATGGACTGGACTAACACTGCTGCCCACCCTTCGCCTCGTAACGAAAGCAGTGGAAATCATACTCCTGCCAGACCGGCCACTGCTCGTTCGTCGTGGTCAGCTCCGGCCGAGAGATATTCGCCCCAGCCCCTTAATTCCCTCTACATTGTCTCGCGGAAATGATTTCCAAGTTATTTTCCCGTGACCGGGGCCGGGGGGCGAGCCGTCGGGGCGGCGAGCGGACGGCCGCTTTGTCATTCGAGCGGTGCAGCGGCTCAGCGCCCCCATAAAATCATCGGCCATAACAGCGTGCGCCCCATGGGTCCTCCCCCTCCCCCTTCCCCCTCGAATCACATACGGCCGACATACGCAGTTATGTAGTGTAGGGGCGACCAGTGAAATCACGGCAGTAAAATGGACCGCCCGTTCAGAGCGGCAGGACGACGAGGACTGCGCAAGCCACTGGAATGTTTCTTTTTAGCAGATGATACCTTTACTACTTCAAAACATACCTAGAACTTTACAAGACACAAAAAGGTGTCAGCTAGCTTTTACTCGAGAGTCCAGAAACCAAGTGACTTGCACATGTGTATCCTACTATCTTTAGAATGAGCCCATAAAAACCCCGTAGAGGAAAAGCAAACGAGTATCATCTGCTTTCATAAACGTTCGTTAAATGAGATTTTTTGCCCCCAGCCAAAAATTTTAAAGGGTCTATCTTGTCAAGATCATCTTCTTCCTGTTTGTCGGAAGGCGGCAATTTTTAATGAAGTCTATCTCTGGCCGAGATCACTTTTTGCTGGCGCTGCCGCCTTTTGTTTAAAACTTTTCCCTTTTTTTTTTGCTGAAAACGCGGCTTGGTTTTTCCTGCCGTCCATCAACACGGTAGACTAAAATCCCGGATTTCCAGTCAAAGAGAAGACTCAAACTATCCCTTACCTAGCCCGATTTCCACCATCTTGAGGTAACCAAGGCTCGTGAGTTCGGTTCCAGCTCTCTTTTCAGACTCTAGAAATGAACTCAGAGCCATACTCGTCTGAGCTGTGTGCGGCGAGTCGGGCCCCCTCGCTCCACCACTCGCGAGTCAATACGCACGGTGCTGCAGGCGTTCCGAAACGTGTTCAATCCCTCTGCCTCTCTCGCATCCTCTCGGGACGCCCCCTGAGTGCGAGAGAGACAGAGCGATACTCAAGCCCCGTTCAGAACCAGCCCGCTGCGTATGGTAATGCCTCTGCGCGGCATCAAAATGCAGCCGGATGCAGGCGACCTGTCCTGTACCCCCCACCCACCCCACCCCGCCCCCTGCTCGGAGTCCGCGGGGACCAGGGCGGCCGCAGTGGCGCGCGGGGGACGGAACCTTATACAAGGCCTAGCACGGCCTCGGACAGCGCGCGGCCCACTGGCCCGCGCACACCGGAACTAACTTTCCACCGCATCCGTGTCCGCCCCGTCCGCCCCCCGACCGAGGCCTGGCCGGGGTGGTCGGTGCCGACTCGGCGGTCGGCGAACGGTGTGGGCAACTGCAGACTGCAGGCAAGTTAGCGGCGACACAAACCCGGAAGTCCAACCTCACATGTCAGGCCTGGCGGCCCTGCAGGCTGATCCCGAGAGTCTCTCTCGCACTCATGGAGCGTCCCGTATAGGTGCGAGAGGGACGCAGAGTGACGGAAAAGACTCTCAGCCTGCTGGCCTGCGTTTCAACACAGCAGCCGTGCGGTTTTCGCCAAGGAAAGGGACCGTCTCCTCCGCGCGTGCTTTTTGCTCCAAGCAAGGGCGCGCACATGCCGCGCAAAAAAAAAGCCAATTCAGCTGAGTCCTTCTCTCTGAGTTCCCTCCTCTGATCCGGTTTTGGTTCGACCGGGGAGGTACGATCCCGGCTTACAGCCCCCCGTCCGTGCTCCGACAATTCCGTCCAGTGGCCGCAGTCGCCGGTGGCGTGGCGACGCCGCGTCCCGCCGCGTCCCGCCGCGCCCAGCTTTGAGCGCCTGCAGTGTAGGCCGCCCCCTCGCTCCGCCGCACCGCTGCCCGGCGGGCTGGCCTACCCGGAGGTTCGCAGGCGGCGTCCGGCGGCGGCAGTGGAGGCGGTCGAAATCCCGCGCGTGTTTTAAACTCCAAAGTCGATAAATGGGACTCGAAACGAACGTGTGACCCCACCAGTGGATTGCCCTCCGAACGAGGAATCCATTGGTGGGGTCACACGCTCAGGTCGAGTCCTGTTTAGCGACTCTGGAGCTCAAAACGCGTCTAGAGTTTGGGCCGCCTCCAGCGGTCTTCTGGCCCACTGTGCGGTGGCGCGCGGCGGAGTAGAACCGATCGGGCACGTTGTTGGGCGAGCACGGCGCGCGGCCGAGGCCAAGAACAATGGCGGCCGTTATGCAATGCATTGAATGGACGGCTCATTGACACGCCGTGTAGTGGAGTTGTGTGGCATCCGTACAGAACAGTGTATCTACTGTGGGGCTCCCTGTGAAGATGCGTTGTTCTGTCAGATGGCCACTCAGTTGAGAGGAGGCGTTGCGCGACTCCAGCGAGCTGGAGCGCACATTCACTTCATACAATAAATTGTCATTGAGTCAATGGTACTGTCTTTCAATGTCATTTCGTGTTTGACAGATCAATGTTTCACATTGGTACGAGGAAATATTGCGAGGAGTTAAAACGTAATTTTACTTCAGTTACTTCAGCTTCTGTCGATTAATTCCAACCTATTTCACACAACTCGAAGCGTGGGGAGCAGCGGAGCGTGACGCGGAGACAGCGGCGATAGGGTTACCGGGCGGCCCGGCCGGTGTGGGTGTAGGGCCCTGTAGGCGCTGGAGGGGCCCGAGGAACCTCGCGGGCCACTGTCAGGCTCGTCCGGGAATCCGACAGGCCGGCAGGGCCGAGGAGCCCCGCCTAGGGGACAGCACAGGGGTGGCGTCGCAGTGGATTCGCCAGCAGACCGGCGGAGGCGGCCAAAACTCGAGACGCGTGCAGAGCTCCAGAGTCGCTAAACAGGACCCGAACCGAACGTGTGACCCCACCAATGGATTGCTCTCCGAACGAGGAATCCATTGGTGGGGTCACACGCTCAGTTCGAGTCCTGTTTAGCGACTCTGGACCTCAAAACCCCGCCGGGGCTTTGACCGCCTCCACCAGTCATCCGGCCCACTAAGCGTTCCGCTCGCTTTGCTTGAGCGCCTCTTAGTAAGGACGGCCATGTCTCGTTTTGCAGTGCAGGCGGGCATGTGTCGGGCCCGAAATGGCGTACGATCATGTGTGGTCAGGCCTCCCACCTCGCCCCCCGCACCGCTGCGCGCCGGGCTGGCCTACCCGGAGGTTCGCAGGCGGCGTCCGCCGGCGCGCCGGCGAGGGCAGGGTCGACATGAGCCCGCTCCTCGAACCAAACGTGTGACGGGGCTGCTCTCCGAACGAGGAATCCATCGGCGGGGTCACACGCTCAGTTCGAGACTCGAACTCCGAGTCCTGTTTAGCGACTCTGGATCTCAATACGCGTCTAGAATTTTGGCCGTCTCCGCCGGTCTTCTGGCCCACTGTGCTGCGGAGGTCTTGGGGCCTCGCGGCTGGCAGCTTCTGGTTCGCCCTGCCCTGCTCATACAACCTGTACCTCGAAAGGTTGACAGCCATTCCGGCGGTCCAGTGAGTCCAGTGGTCGGGCGAGTCGGGCCCACGCCTCCGGGTGGCTGGCGCCGAGGCTGGCGCTGCAGGCCCCGGCAGCGACGCCCGGCTACGACAGCACTCCGGCCGCCACGCCCGCGCGCTCGGCCGCTCAAGGCTGGCCCGGTCAAAATCCGGCACCCCCCACCCCCACCCCCGCTGGCCCGCCCCTCCAGGCCGCGGGCCGCCCCTCCACGCCCCACCACGCCCCCACTGTGAGTACGGCTGGGGCTCCAGGCAGCGGGGCCCTGCACGGCCGGCACGGCCCCAGCGGGGCATGAATGGGAGCGTGGCTGCCTGGGGCTGCCTGGCTGCCAGGCT